TCCAGCTACTTTCCTATGATCTTGTACATACCAAAAACTGAGCTTTAGGGGATGCAAAAAGGGGATTATTCATCTATCGAGGATTATCTGTTTTTATACGTTGTTGAAAAGGAATAGATTTGTCTTGTAGTTTGTTGATTTGTAGGGGCATACTTTATAAACTTAAGTATTACATCTATTGATGCAATGTTCTGTTTAATTTTAAAGCTGTGAAGATGCTTCTTTACTTCTCTCTTAAATTCCTTGTCTGTTACAAATGTATAAACTCATTTCCCACATGCTTACTTGCTGCTTTGCTGTAAGGTTGGGATCTCTGAAGTATGGAGCTTTTTTGTAAATTGTGTATGAAAACAATTCATTTACTTAATATTAAGACTTCTGCGATCAAGATGAAGTGTAAAGCTTTTCATAACTGAATCATTGTAACATTAACTTTTTTAAAGTCAACTTAGTGCTTTTTTCATATTTGCATTGCTGGCTTTGAACTTTTTTCAAGCAAACCTTGTGTGAAATGCTCTCCATTTACCTTTTGGTGCTAGAATGTATGGGGCTTGCAGCTGTGTTGCAGAAGTTGCAGTCTACATCATTGCAAAATAAAGCTTCTGTTCTAATTTTAAACTTGTTTAGTGCGTAGCTTTGTGAACTGAGCCTATATGTACATGCAGTGTAAATTAAAATCTTAAAATTATGCTTTTAATTAACTGTTAGATTTGGGTCTGGAGGAGTAGTAATCATAATTTTGTTATAGGATCCATGGTGTGTACATATACATTGGTTCAGTATTTTATAGCATGCGTAGGCAACAACAGGAAAATGACCATTCATAGTGAAGCATCTGGCACTTAACAAGCGTCCTGTCTCCAATTTAATGGAAATGTTGTTACGGTACAAGTCAGAACAGAGTGTTAAAAGGGTTATGATATGAGCTGTCGGTGGTTATGAATAACTATGAAATATATATTGTTAATGCACCATGTCGGAAGAAAATGCAGTTAAAATCACAATCTCTTGATAACTCTATAACAAGTGTGAAAAGAAATGTGGAACTGTTGAAACTGTTAAGTTTATACAGCTATGACTGGGCTTAATTTCACTAAATTAGATGCATTTAAGCATCAACAAACTGCATTGCTAAACTCTTTGAAACTACCATGATACTAGATTTATTCAAATCTGAGACAAAGGACGGGGGGTTTATCCCCATTTAACATGAGGGGAGCTCGTCTTAGATTCAAGTACAAGGTAGTGTGGGGAAGGCAAACTGTTCTGCCTCTGGCTCCAACCCCAGGTTGGAGATGGAGCCACAGCTGCTGTCTGCACCCCCCCACCCCCCCGCGCTGCTTTTGCCTCCTCTGCCAGGCCTCCTACATGCAGCCTCAAGCTCCCTGCAGTGTCTTCTCCTGTCTCCTTCCCTGTCCCCACTGCTTACCCTTGCCCCACTCCATCCCAGGGCACTGAGCATGGGTCCCAGTCCAGCTTGGTAGCAGAGGTGGCAGTGTGGCAGCTCTGGCCCCGGCCACAGGGCCCAGCCAGAGCTACCACATCCCTGCAAGGGTAAGCTATAGTCGTGTGAGTGGGGCAGGCAAGGGGGTAGAAGCTCTTTGGGGAGGTGGGAAGATAGAGACTGGGGGGGACACAAAGGCAGTCTGGGGGCAGACAAGTAGTGGGGATGACTGCCAGCAAGGGGCAAGGTATGGCAGGCCAAAGTGTCAGGTTACTTGACCTCCTAACTCCCAGTGCCTCCTTACCACCTGCTCCCTGCCCACTTCCTGCCCCCTGCCACTGCTTTCTGTGCTGCAGCAGTGGTGGGGATGAATTTAAAACAACCGTCTAATAATTAGATTCTGTACATGGAAAATCATAAACTTATACTTTTTCCATGTATAGAATCTAATTACTGGGCGGGGGGCGGGGGTGTCTTAAAATTAGAGTCATCATGGATTTGGGTAGATATGGTGTATTACATCTTACTTTCTATTCCTTAAATTCCACAGGAATATGTTGGTCTTCATTGCATTTCTCCATTAGATTTGTAATTGTTCTTTCTAGGTTTCTGTTTTTTCTGAATCAATCCTCTTTCCTATTTAAATCCCATTTAAATTATGTACTTATACTATATTGTGGAATGTCTGTTTCTCATTACTCAATTCCTACCGGAGATGTCAACTGAAGAATGGCTCATAGCCACCCTTAGTGGCTAAGCCAAGTGAAGGATGTTGTTTAAATTTTGGAAGTTAGTGAATACACTTATGATGTTGGGGGATAGAGTGAGCCTGCTTAAATGACTTTAGAGTAAGTCATTCAGTCTTGGGCCAGGCATTTAATTTACCTTGTAGTTCAAAGTAAAGTACAACTTCAGGAAAACATTAGGTAAAACAGTAGGTAAAGTAGATATTGCCATATTTACTCAAATACAAGATGAGGCTTTTCCCTCCCCCCAGTCAGCATGGGTGGAAAGCCCCTTATCTTACATTTGTATACAAGGAATGTCTTGTATGTTGTTTATCATTAAACTGCTACCAAAAGCAGGATATGCTCAATAATGGAAACCAGCTATGAAATCGATTAAATGCAGCCAACACTGAGCGTAACTATACAACACATGGCCTATATTGGGCAAACATGCTGATGGAACCTTTTTTTTTAAGAGCCCCACAAAAAACGGGCAGTTGCTTCACCAGGGAGAGAGTGAGCACTGGGCTTGGAGCCACTGCAACACCAGGCCAGGACTTAGAGAGCCTGGCGCAAGCTCCAACACCTTCCCCCAGTGCCAGAAGCACTGATGGGTGTGGCAGCCGTGTGGCAGGCCGGGGCTATGGCCAGTAGCCCGAAACAGCAGGTGGGTACTTTTTGACAGACGGAGAGGAACTAGGCACGGAAGCGTATTGTTTAAACTAAGATTGCTTTACTTACACTGTAGATGATTATAATACAGGTAGGCTAAATGCTGACTTAGGTTACAGTTGCAAACCGAACGAGATGAAAGCTTTCTGAGAGCGAAGTGAGATGTCTGTGAACGGCTTAACGAGCATGCAGAGCGGGGGATACGTCGGTAGGTCGGTGACGGGGAGTCACTGGTGGGTGATCAGTCCACCAGGTTTACTCTGAGATATGTGCGGAGTTCGCTGGGTTTAATTCCCCTACTCCGAGGTATATGCGGAGTTCTCCAACTTCTCTGAGTTTTCCCAGGTGTATATGGAGTGCTTCAACGTGGAGAAATACACAGAGTTCTCCAATGTGGGGAAATGTCCAGAGTTCTCCAACTTGGGCGGAAACTGCTTTAACTTTTATATGACTAACAAGCCAATCGCTAGTCACTAAATATGAATAATTTGGAACCGGCCAATTGTGGTGTGCCTATTTGCATGAAGTTGGCAGGAACTTTTTCTAAAGCTGTACTTTTCCATGACATAGCATATAGTCACTGGGTTCTGTCCCAGCGGAATTTTCCACCGTGACCTACTTTCTTCGCTGTGACCTAGTTTCTCCCTGTGCCATATGTATCAAACCAAACCAATGGAATTTTCCACTATGGCACAGGCATGCAGACTGATTGACAGCAGAATCTTCCACTATGGATCAAGCCAAAGGAATGTTTCACTGTGCCATAGGCATACAACTACTTGGTTCTGACAATGGGAACCTACAGTGCAGCCTATCTGAATAAGATATCTGGTAGTGCTCATTAAGCATAGTCCCACTTGGTGCTGACTTTCTTTTTCAAGTCATGGTGAGCTACTACACTGACCACATTTTTTTACTTTCTCTTCACTCCAAGAGCTGTGCTGTGCTTTTCTTTCCCGTTTCCAATGATTCCTGTTTCTTCATAAGCCTTAAATGTTTGGGAAACAGTTCACCCAGAATCCCTGTCACATTTGCTCTTGGCCTATCGCATATGATTAGTGTGGCCCCTTCCCACGTGAGGTGGAACTGGACCAGGTATCCTTGCACCTTATCTGCATATACATTTTTGGAGGCTCCCAGGACTCATGACAAAAAGACTTGGTTCCTGTCATGAGTGGGGAGTGGGGCTAATTAGCATGTTGAACCTTTGTGGGGTATGTCTGGAGTACACTTGCATAATGAGCAGTGCTGAGCTGTGATGTCACCATGGCTTGAAATGCTGTTGATTCTGAGTGGTGCCCAGCCCAGTGAGCTCTATGGTAAATCATTAGCTTCTTGATTTTGGACTAGGACCATGTATAGCTTGTGCTGTTTACAAGTAGGTACACACACGTTGCTTAAAGGTGTGTTTCTGGAGCACCTGTGCTAAAACTTGCAGCAGCTTCAAAACAAGGTAGAATGCATCAATTCTGGATGAACTAGGTATATGGGTACTATATGCAAATTACTAAAGGTAAGTTTTAAGATTGGTATTTTCAAATTAGATCCTCATTTTTATGTGCTATGGGGAAAGGGTGTGACAGTAAGGAGGAGGTAAGGTGCAGAGGGAAGAAGTTAGGGCAGAGGGAGGGGACAAATCCAATTATTAGATTTATATCTGGAAATTATAATAAATGTATACATTTTCTGCATATAGAATGTAAGTATTAGGAGCATCTTATAGTCAGGGTTGTTTTCTATTCAAGTAAATATATATAACTACATTTCTTGCATTTAAAAATTTAGACAATTTAGAAGCAGTCTCAATACACGGCTTGCTACAGTAACAGTTGGACTTCTTATAAAGAACAAACTTTTAAAATGTCAGAACACTACAAAATGGTACTTTTATCAAAGATCAGTCAATACCAGTTATCTTGGTCAGCTTGTTTTAGAAGCAGATATTTTTTTTTAACATCAAAAGCACTTGTTTACGCCTTGGAGAAGATCATTCTGGCTTATAATTGCAGTGTTGGATGAACATGCATAAATGTACTGTGTGTTGTTTGTGTGTTAAACTTGGGCTTAATTTTAAAGTAGTAAAACATTTTTCTCATTCACAAAGATTCTGAGTAACTTGTCCTTAATACACCTGCATTGTTTCTCTCTTTGTTCAGGGAAGCAGTGTTTCTTAGTCCTACGTCAGCAGCAGTTTAATGTCCAGGCTCTTGTGGCTGTGGGAGACCATGCAAGCAAGCAGATGGTAAAGTTTGCTGCCAAGTAAGTAAGCAATTATATCCTGTTGTCAAAGTAAACAATGGTGGGAACCAAGACTCCTAGGGGTTGGGACCATTTTCACACATTAACATCAATGCTTCGTTTGTTTTAAAATGTAGTTATTTAAATTGTCAGTTCACTATTGCCTTGAATAGATTACACTTACAAAAGATAAAATAGAACACAGGCTTGAAATTCATTCTCAACTGCTGAAGCAGCATTCTCTCTCCACAGACAACCTACATTTACTTTCAAGCCAGCTAACAAAAAGCCTGGGAGGCTTAGCATTTTATTTTGTGTCTGTGTGTGCATGCACACATGCTGGCTTTTTTTTCTTGCTTAAGCTTCATTGTAGTAATATGTTTACTAACTGGATATGAGGACTGAACTACATTTTGTTTGGAAGAAATTCTGTGTTGCAAGTTTAATTTTTTCAATTCAAAGTTGGTGCCACGAATCTAATTAGTCTGTTTCACTCTATTATTGGCATTAAAGTTTGCTTTTCTTTTTCAAGTTGCTGTTTTAAATATTTTGGGGGGGAGGGACAACAGTTAGACTTGCCAGTTGATAAAAACGTTACAGGTATGCATGTTTGGTTAATTTTGTTTGTGGTATTCTTAAGGCTGAAGAGTTACCTTTCCCTTGCCCTTCTTTTTTATGTTTGATGGAACTTTCAGGCTTTTGATCATCTAATACTGTATATATCTGCATGGCATGGTGATTTTATAGAACTTTTTTACACTTCTGAAGCTTCTAACTGGCTGTCCACAAAATGAAATTCGTAGATTCATAGATTTCATAGACATTAGGGCTGGAAGGGACCTCGGAAGATCATCGAGTCCAGCCCCCTGCCCAAAGGGCAGGAAGTCAGCCGGGTTCATATGATCCCAGCAAGATGAGCATCCAGTTTGCTCTTGAAGGTGTTCATTGTGGGCGCTTGAACCACCCCCGGTGGCAGGCTGTTCCAGACCTTGGGGACTCGGACAGTAAAGAAATTCTTCCTTATGTCCAGCCTGAAACAGTCTTGTAGTAGTTTATGACCATTCGACCTAGTCGTCATCCCTTGGGGCGCTCTGGTGAACAAACGTTCCCCCAGATACTGGTGGTCACCTCTGATAAACTTGTAGGTGGCCATCAGATCACCCCTG